TATATATATATATATATATATATATATATATATATATATATATATGCCAAGATGGGTTAAAAAATATCCAAAGCAATACCCACACCTTTCCCTTATTCTTTTTAAAAAATTATATTAGTTTATTTACTTTACCTCCCAAATGTGCCCTCCTCCCAGTACCCCACTTCCTTTTCCCCCCAGAAAAGCGAAGCGTCCTTTCCCCCTTTTTAACCCTCCCCAGCCCATCAAGTCACATCAGGACATATCTTCATCTCCTGAGGCCAGGCAAGGCAGCCCTGCCAGGGGGAAGTGATCCAAAAGCAGGCAATAAAGTCCATGTTAGAAACAGGCCCCCCTCCACTTGCCAGGCACCCCATTTGAAGACCAACCTGCCCACATGTGTGCAGGGGGCACAGGTCCAGACCATGCACGCTCCTTGGTTGATGTCTCAGTCTCTGTAAGCCCCCATGAGACTGGGTTAGTTGTCTCTGTTGGTCTTCTTATAAGGTTCCTGTCCTCTCCAGGTCCTTCCATCTTTCCCCCAACACTTCCAAAGGAACTCCAGAGCTCTGCTGCATGCTTGGCTGCAAGTCCCAGCATCTGTGTTGATCTGCTGTTGACTGGAGCCTCCCAGGCTACAGTCAAGTTAGGCTCTTGTCTGCAACCATAGCAGAGCATCATTATTACTGCCAGTCGCTGTCTCTCTACTGTGGGGTGGGTCTCAGGTTGGGCCAATTATTGTTTGGACTTTTCTTTTATCTTTGTTCCCTCATCCCTTCATTTCTTGTAGGTAGGGCAATTTTTTGGTTCACAGGTCTTGTCAATAGGTTGTTGATCCCTTCCTTCCTCTAGCCCTGCCTGGCTAGGAGGTGGTCACTTCAGCCCCCCCCCCCCCCGCCACCTCATTAGGAGTCTCAGCTAGAATCACACCCATATCTTCCCAGGCTCCTACCCTGTAGCAGGACTCGAGCTTGACCAAGAGCTGTCCCTCCCCAGTTTCCCTTCTTGTTCCCATCCCTCTCACCTCCCACCCTCATTCTCCCCACATCTGATCCCCACCTTTGTTTCCCTGCCCATTCCATCTCCTGTCCAGTTCCCTCTCTTCATCCACATCTGCTGTCTATTCTATTTCCCCTTCTGAGTGACATTCAGGCATCCTCCCTTGGGCCCTCCTTGTTACTTAGCTTCTTTGGGTCTGTGGATTGTAGTATGTTTCTCCTGTATTATAGGTCTAACATCCACTTATAAGTGAGTACATACCATGTGCATCTTTCTGGGTCTGGGTTACCTCACAAAAATATGGAACGCTTCATGAATTTGCGTGTCGTCCTTGCGCAGGGGCCAATGGTACAATCTTCTCTGTACCATTCCAATTTTAACGTATGTGCTGCTGAAGCAAGCACTCGTTCCCTTATTCTAGGGAACAAGCTCCTTAGAGGGTGGTTTGCATGCAGGTGGGTCCCTAATTGAGAAGCTGTGCACGTCTAATTGGATGACACTTGAGTCATTCTCTGAAGCCGTGGGGAAAGGGCAGGACCCGGAAACATGATAGAGTCCTCTTTTGGCCACAGAGATTTGAAACTGCTGCTCTGGGCATTGCCAGGCGTTTTCTGCAGCAGCCTTCAAGGCTTCCCTACCTATGTGGTGCTGAATTGACCCTTTTTTTCTGTCTTATAAAAGTAAGGAATGCACTAAAGGACATGAGTGCAGCCGTTAAAAATCACAATGAATGATGGGAGTTGCGACCAAGCCTCAGGAGCTGGTTTCATTTGCACTCGATTCTCCTTGAAGCGGTAAGATTTTAAAAGCAAGTTGGGGGAAAGTCCCCTGGAAGGTCTCAGGTTGTTGGCAGTGCTGTGTGCTGAGTGCTGTGGGCACTGTGCTCAGACCACACCTGCACTCCCTGCTCAGATGCACATTATCCCTTGCAGGCACCTAAGCGGCTCCTTGCGGGTGGGAGGTGCTGAGGACTTCAGTCCCTGGGGAGCAGGCCTGGCCAGTGGTGGACAAGAGTGGGTGTGGAGCTATCTGGCCCGAGTCCTTTGGACAGCCAGCTCTGGTGTTCTGCCCCCTCACAGCATGGAGGAGTTCAGCTGTCTACAGAGCTCATTTGAACCACCACTGGCTGATCTGGATTTTCTTCCCTTCCTTCCTTTCTCTTCCTTTCTTCCTGGGACCATCTCCCAGATAACTATCTGCCCTCAAGTGCTTGTGGTACCTGCTTCAGGGAGAATCCAAACCAGACACACAGGGATGCATTCTCTTAATTGGGCATTCTTTAAAACAACATCAACAACAACATTTGTTTTTAATTTTGTGTATGGATATTTTGCCTGCATGTATGTCTCTGCCTTTGGAAGCCAGAAGAGGGCAATGGATCCCCTGAGACGAGTTACAAGCACTCATGAGCTGCTATGTGAATCCTGGGGCTTGAACCTGGGTCCTCTGGAAGAGCAGCTAGTGTTCTTTGGATGTACCACAGTTTACACATTCATCTACTGAAGGATGCTTACAAGTTTCTCCAGTTACAAATAAAGCTACTAGAACATCCATATGGTTTTTAGCACATTTGGGGACTACCAGAGCGCATGGTTGGATATCCTTTAACTTTTTAATCTATAGGCCTCCTGCACACACATACACATGAAGGACTGAACACCCAGCCTCAGGCACACTGGGCATGCATTCTATTCCTCAGGGACATTCTCAGTTCTTTTTATCTTTACATTTTATTTGTTGAAAAAACTGGGTTGTTTTCCCTAAATAATTTTTTTGGCCTAGATTTTTCTACATGAATCCATGTGATATTAGTTTCTTCCAGAAACTGGCTATTAAGTCCAGAAGTGTGTTCAAATTTAAATTTATTTATTTATCTATCATGTAGCACTGCTTTATAGGGGCTGTTGTGTTTGTTCATGAACTTCTTCATTAAAGAGGCCTGAAGATTGATGTAAGACTTGCCCAGTTGGTGGATCTCTGTGAGTTTGAGGCCAGCCTGGTCTACAAAGTATGTTCCAGGCCAGCCGGAGCTCACTTATGTATAAAACTGTTAGAGGCTGTGGTGGTTTGAACAAGAGCAGCCCCCAAAGGCCCATAGATTTGAATATAGTGCCAGCAAGGGGTAGCACTATTTGAAAGGATTAGGGAGTACAGCCTTGATGGAGGAAGTGTGTCCGTGGGGGTGGCTCTGAGGTTTCAAAAAGTCTCTTCCAGCCCAGAACCTCTGTCCTCATGCTGCCTCTGAATCCACATGTAGAGCCCTCAGCTATGTCTCCAGCACCACGTCTGCCTGAGTGCCTCGATGCTCCTGGATCATGAAGACAATGAATGGACTAAACCTCTGATGCCATGAGCAAACCCCAATCAAATACTTTCTTTTGGTTATGATGTCACAGCAACAGAGCACTGACTAAGACAGGCCGTCAAGACAGCTCAGTGAGGAGGGAGCTTTCCACCAACCCTGATGATACAAGCTCAGTCTCCAGAAGCTGTTCTTTGACCTCCACATGTGAGCCAAAGCAGGCGAGCTCCTGACCGAATAAATAATTAAATGTAAAAACAACAAAAAAATTAAAACCAGTTAGAAGCATGTGTATGGATTCATGTGTGTATATGTTTGTCTGTGTGACTCCAGGCTGAGAAAACAATACGTGGCCCAGATCTGCCAGATTTTTCTGGCTCCTGGAGTCTGTTAATGAGGAATAAGATGTTCGGATACAGGCAGTAAAGGCTGCATGGAAATGATATCACTCTCATGAGGAGCTGTGGTCGCAAAGACCGAGAACCTGTTTCCGCTCTGGCTGACTCGGTCGTGGTGAGCACTTTAACTTCCCGGGCTCTCCTGTTTAATTTTTCAGTCGGTGTGCAGCAATCACATTAGTTGTATTTAATACGTGGTATATTTGTTCTTCAACTTTTATGACTCCTGCTAATTAACTGTACAGTCTTTTATTAGTGTTTGAGATTCTAATTACTGCATTCCCAGGAAGTTTAATATTGTTTAGACTGCACTGCCTCTTTATTGACTTTCAGGTTTGCCTCTAGAAACTCAAGTTCGGAGTCTCAGAGAGTCTGTGTTCATTGAGGAAGAACACTCTGGCTTAGCCCATCCTCCTTCTTTGTGAGTGGACAAAACAGGCTCTTGGAATCGGGTTTCACATTGAGTAGGTGCTGCCCATTCCTTGCCAATGGTTGGTGTTCAAGCAGTTGGTGGCACTCCCATGACTGGTCAGGGAGTGATCTGTGATGCTTCCTCAAGCCTTTGTGGTATGTCCAGGAGCTGTGCTCCTGAAGGCCCAGGCTTTTCTCTTGTCCTTCCCATCGAGCATGCTCCTTGCCCTGTCTTGGCTCTGTGTGCTTTCTCAATGGGAACATCTTCCTTTCTGTCTGGCTATGCTTGTCCATCCCTCCAGGTCTTGTTCAGATACTGCTTCCTCCATAAGCCTTCCCAGTGCCCATCTCCCCAATGAGCTGTAGTCTAACCCCCCAGTCTTACAGGTACCTTTGCCTTGGATCTTCGCTTGTCACCTCTAGCGTGTCTCCATCATGCATATAACCTGAAATGTAAACTCTGGGAGCATAAAGATTGCTCTACGGGTACCATCAGAAGTCTCGGCCACCCTTGCACACCGGGGACATTAAGTTGCCACTTGCAGATGGCTGATCTCTTACTGTGGGAGATGAGGGGTGCAGTGTGAATTTTCTGAATGAATCCTATGACTTACAGTGATAGCCTTAAATGTAGAATAACAAAATCATTGACAATTAGTCCATTTGATGTGCATTAAGGTTTCTCTCGAAGTCGTGTTTTTCCTTTTATTTCACCAATGACCTGGCATTTGCTATGTTGGGCATCACCTCAGTATGGGACTAAACTACTGAGGCACACACAGGACTACCGCTGAAAGGATGGACACTCTTGAAAAAGGTGGCCATGTTATGGCATGGGTAGTGGAATTCTAGGGCAAGCCACTGCCGGATCATCAGAAGAAAGGGTGGAAAATCCCTGTTAAGCATCCCCACCCTCTGTTTTCCTATTGACTTTGGTGAGTAGCTTTTCCCAAGAGCGAGATTTCACAACAATATTAGATGATTTCTGCCATGTTTACTCCTTAGCACCGAGAAGAGGCCATGCATGCTTCAGGGTCTGCTCAGGCCCTGAGATTGAATTGGAGTCTAGTCAAGGCTGCCATGACTAGGGGTAGCCTTAGGAAAGCTCCCTAACTTGCTCTCCTGATTAGGTTTTATCATCAGCTTGACAACCTAGAGTCATCTGGGAAGAGAAAGCCTCAACTGAAAAGTTCCCTCAATCAGATTGGCCTATGGGCATGTCCGTGTGGTGGTGACTTCATTACTGATTGCTGGCCCACTGTGAGTGGCCCCATCTCCAGGCAGGTGATCCTAGGCTGCTTAAGAAAGCTGGCTGAGCCCAAGGCAGTGATGGAACCAGTAAGCAATATTCCCCCATGGTCTCTGCTTCAGGTTCCTGCCTTGGCTTCCTCCTCCACTGGAATGTAGCCTGGAAATAAACTCATTTCTTCCCTTAGTTGCTTTTTTGTCAGAGCGGTTTCATCACAGCCACAGAATGAAACTAGAATACTTGCCCATACCTGGCGAAAGGGCGACAATCATTGTGAAATCACGAAGAAAAGTTGAGAATGCATTAACACAGTTGAGGATTTGGGAATCTGCTGTATGGTGAATGCGCAGCTGCTGAGGGCTGTTATTTCCAGAAAACATTCATTCTTTATTCCTTTTTCTCCTCCCTCAAGAATGTCAGTCCTTCTTCTGTGGTACCAGCAGTGTTGTAGAGCCTCAGAGAAATGGCTCATTAGATCCTGGTCTTCTGACACCAGGAGCCCTATCAGGTAGGTAGAAGACAGAGAGAGGAGGAGCCGCTGCATTCTCCCTCCTGATCTGCTTTCCAGCAAGCTTGCTCTCTTTTTCTGGGCTTTGCCTTTACCAAGTGCAGAGCCAAGGGGTGAGAATTTCTGTAGGTCCCACTGGGTCGCAGGGGGGTGAATGAGTTAACATTTACAAAGTGCTTTGAGCTCCTTGGGGAAAAGGCCCAATCTAAGTATTCTCATTAGTGCATGAATAATAGATGAGCCTAAAGCACTTTGTGAATAGGAAGTTCTTTAGCAACGCTAAATAATACTCCCACGGACCTACCTGCCTGTGATCGAGGGGAAAGGCTGGTTCTTAAAGCTCTGATGGTTCTTGGATAAAATAATTCCTTCCTTCTGCCTCTGAGAATGGAGAGGAAGGAATGAGTGATGTCAAAGTCAACTCACGTAATTAGGTGCCTCTTGCCAGTGCTTAGAGTGATTCGGACAGCAGGAGTCAGAGCAGTCATCCATGACAGCATGGCTGACCTCTAAAGCAGAACTCCACCCCGGGGCAA